GTGAACGGGAGAGTTTGCTTCCAGACAAATCTCCGCTGGATTGGGAGAAATCTCCAAGGTTGCTCTGTCTTGCACTGTAAGACGGCTCTTCCGCACTGTTAGCGTGTTGTTGCTGCTCCTGCTGTCTGGGTTTGTTTTTTTCCAGGCTGTCTGGGGCAGTGGCTCCTTTCCCTCCAGGAATTTTTAGGGAGGATTTTCTAAAGACTGTGTGGGGGCGGCCAATCTCTGCTGGCTCAGCTCCTATCGGGAGGAAAGGCTGCTGCAGGTATGGCCCCGCAGCAGAACCCTGCTAATCCAGCTGCTTCTGCTGCCTAATGACTTTCTCAAGGTATTTTTAGCTGCACATAAACTTCAGGAAAAGCTTTTTTGCGGCCGAGCACACTGTGGCCTTTGTTCAGGCTTCTGGGAATGGGGAGGTAACAGCTCAGTGCGGTTGTGGTGGCTTGCACAGCCCTTTCCCCTCACAGTGCGTTTGCAAGCTGCTCAGGAGCATTGCAGCCTGCTGCGTGGGGCTGTCGGAGACCCCTCGAGCGATGCTGAACTCCTGCTGACCTGCTCTCGCCTGTGCACAGTCTGCGGCTTGCTTTGGCAAAGCTTCTGGTTCAGGAGCAGCTCAGAAAGGAGCTTTCAGAAAGGGCTGCTCCTCCCGGGTATCTGCATGTCATGGGGGCCATCAGAGGAAACCTTCTCACCTCTGCCTGCTGTCAACAACCATCTCTGTTGCAAAGTCAACTTGCATGTGGAATTAGCACATTAAATGTCCTGGATCTTTGCTCGAAGCTCTCAGGGCTGGAGGGACAGGGGCACTGAGTGGCTTCCCATGGGCTTTGTGTCCCCCTCGCTGCTTGGACTCTGGTGTTGTACAGCAGATGCGGCTGGGCGGGCAGAATGGCTCTGTGTGCTGTGCATGATGCCATGTGCACCTGCTGTGGTCTGGGGAACTCTCCAAGGCACCTGCGTGGCTAGCGGGACACATGTTGCCCTGTCCTGCCATCGTGGTGGCTGCACAGGACGGACGAGCACTGTGAGTGTCCCTCACAGGGTGCCAAAGTGGCTTTTGCTGCTGTTTTCCATGTGAGAGGTACCTGGGTGTTGGGGCAAGGTCAGCCTGTGCCCTGCCTATGCTCACGGGGTGGCTGGGACAAGGGAAATTGTAGATTTTCCCCATTATGTCAAGACTAGTCAGCAGTTGGAAATGGAAGCTCAGCCTTTAGGAGCAGAGTTGCCAGCTGGAGAGTTTAAAGTAGTTGCCACCTCCCTTCTCATGGTAAGGGGGGACTCGGCTTGGGGCTTGCCAACTTTCCACCTGCCAAAGGCATCAGTCACGTGGCAAAAGACCGAAATGGCTTTGTAATCCCAGGCAAGTTGGACACGGAGCCTCCACTGTGTCCGTGTCGGAGGAGCTCCTGCTAGGAGGGGCAAGCAGGAGCCCAGGGAACAACTTGGTGTGGGGTTACTGCTAAATATCTGCATCTCCTCCTGCTTGCAGCAAGAGGCAGGCAGGACCTGAGCTTGCCTGTGGTCTCTGCTGCCTTGTCGCTCCGCCAGGCGCTCTGGATCATGCCTGTGCTTTCACAGGAGTCTCCTGTCTTGGTCAGGATCATCTGTTTTTCTTCATCTGTTTTTATTAACTCTTGTCTCTGAAATAGCTCTGGCACTGAACTCCCACACCCCTTCCACTTTCCTTGCCAGTGGGCTCCTCAAAATGCCTGCTCCGGTCTGCCGACGGCTCCTACAGCTGGGATTTGGGGGTCGCCAGCCGCATGCAGGGCTGAGGGTGCCCAAACAGCCTCTGTGCTTGCAATAAGGGCAAGAAATGCAGGCGTTCAGCTGGAAGTTGGGGCTCTGCGAGCAGCTGGCTGTTCGTTAGCTGTGGTAGCAAATGAAGCTGCGTGCAGTGGCATCTGCTCCTATGGGTAGGACCTGGGTGCTTGGTCCAGCCTGCTAGAAAATTCCCTATACGTGGAGGACCTCAGGGCTGGCGTAAAGATGCTTCTCTCTCTTTGGGGGAAGGAGAGTGTGGGCTGGAAGGAGCAGGTCTGAAAACAAGAGATACTGCTAATTGTCTGCAGCATCTCTCTGCTTAATGGAGTGGAGAATAGAGCTCGCTGTGTTTCCCTGGCTCCCTGCTTGGTGCAGGGCTGAGGTCTGGGCTCGTGACCGCGAGCCAAGCACTGCTGTGATGTCCTTGGTCCATGTGTGAGCACTGCTGTGATGTCCTTGGTCCATGTGAACTGCGACGGGGCACGACTTCAGTCTGGGTTAGCTGGTCTTGGAACTCATCACTGGCCGTGAAGAGCAGGAATGGCCTTTTCCAGCTCTCACGGGCAGCTTGTCGCAGGCAGGAGCTGCAGGAGGGATTTGCAGGCTGCTCCCTGCCCCAGGTGGGGTCACAGCAAGTCTGAGTATGCTGTGAGCCAACAGGTCTCTGGGTGCTTGGGCTTGGTTTGAGCTATCGGGGTGGTCAACCCTGACCTGTGGCCAGTTCTCATCTGGTGACTTACTTGGAGGCTGGGCTACCCGTGTGGAAACTATCAGTGCCACCAAGTCATACAGTGGCTCCGAGAGCTCAACTGCATCCTCTGTGAGTGATGCTGGCCATGTGTGTTGCTGGGAGAGCATATTGCCTTGCTCGGTGCTGCCATTGGGAGTGACCTTCAGGACCCCTGGTTTTCTGCAGGGGGTTGGAAACTGTGAATATGAAGTGCTCACAGGTTCACCTCCAGCCTGGCTTTCTGTTGGTGCACGTGAGCTGGGCAGGAGCTTGACCAAAATGACTTGTTAGATCATGCTGCCTGTAATGTAGAAGAGGGACTTTCACCTTGCGGGGTCTGTGAGCTCTTCCTAAGGGTCCTGGAAAGGCTGTGAAGTTTTATGCTCCTAGCAGGAGACTTGAAATCACTGCCTGCATGTTCATCTGGGGCTCTGCAGGTCAGACAGCTGGAAAGTCACCAGGTCTTGGTGGAAACTCAGTGGCCGCTACCCTCTGGGACTCCCATCTCCCTTCCTTCTGCATTGCAGTAACAGGACTTGCTCCCTCTCCCTTTCAGATGGAGCAAGTCCCCTTCCTGCAATGCAGAAGCTGCACAGGACAGTTGTTGTATTCCAGTTTATCGATTCGCTTTCCAAAAGTAAGGGTAGTGGGTATAAGGTCAACGTTGAATGGTGCCCAATAAAAGGCGGAAACCCTTGGAGCAGCAAACAAGCACTGGGTTAGTTGAGTCATTCATATTAGCCAGGCTTTACCCTGTAACCAACAAGCAAAGGCACCTGCTACATCTCAAGCTACTGCCTTTAACCGAGTGAAGCTTCCCAAGGAGGGAATAGGAGAAGCTGCCCCACACCTCTGTGCCTGTCCCAGCTCTGCAAGGCATCAGGCCTGGCAGCGGAGGCAGGGACTGGCTTTGTGCCTCCACCTGGTGGAAAGACCGGGTGTTGCAGTTTAGCCTACCAAATTCGGTTTTATTTGGGGGACAGGGAGGGAAGTCACCAGGGAGGTGTTCTGCGTGGGGTGATAGGAATGAGCAAATCTTGCTCCTCTCTGTAAGGACAAAGTGTATAAATAGACATCTCTTAGTTTTCTCCTGACTTGCCTTCGTAGCGATACGCAATGGGATGCTTGTCATGTTATTTATTCTGCCTGCCTTTGCGCTGCAGGTGGGATGCACGCTAACTGGGATGTCCTTAGGTCCCCGTGGGGTGGCTGAGCGAGCGGAGGGGCAGAGGTGCAGCTTTTCATAACGTGAAGAATGCACCGAGTCAAACGCCACCTCCCCTGCCTCCTACCTGGATCGCAGTGTCAGTGGGGGGGGCTTTACCCTTCTCTCTTCCCCATCTCTCCCTGTCACGTAATCCACTTAATCCCCTGCCAACAGGATTCTATTACTGTCAGCTCTGCGGAGCCAATATTGCTAATGGGCAAGCTGTCTGCTCCGGCTTGCATCAACAAAGAGCTAGCCACGTCTAGAGTCTTGGTACCTCCAGCAATGATCCTACAAAGCAGAATACACACAGCTTGATTTAATAGGTATCCAGGTCTCTTCTTAGCACTGCCACTTTAAAAACGAAACCTCTCATGTTTACACATATTTAACAAATGTGGATAAACCTTAGTGCTTTTCTTACTGAAGGCGACTTTGGGAGCTGCCTGATGTTACCAGATCACACTGCGGGTCCAGTTCAGATGTCACGCTGCCCTGGGAGGGAATCCGCAGTCTGGATGGGAGTGCTGGAGGGTGGAGAGGGTCGGGCAGTCTGAGTCTGTAGCTGTTGTTTTAGCCGTGCACTGAGTCTTGGCTCTGATCTGCGCCCTCAAGGCCGCTGTTGCAGAGCGGGATATGGTTGAAGAAAACCAGTGTTGAGGTTTTAACGTCGTGGAAATCTTTTCCTCGGCTCCTGTTGTCTAAGCAGCCGGGCTGAGGTATTGCAGGTCCCTTCTTGGGACGGGGGGTGGATTTAGGCCTGGGAGAGGGACCTCGTTCCAGCTCCTGAACACTGTGCACTCTGTGCGTGGGGTTTGGTGTGTGGCTAAGGCTATAGAGGCTTGATCCCTACCAGACTTCCTTACCGCCCTCAGACAGTGCCTGTGCTCTCACCTTCCCCCTGACTGGCTGTAGCCTACTTGAGGAAAGATAAACACACGGCATCCCTTCTCCATGCCCTGTGTCAGTAGTCTGGGGCTAACCACTTACTATGGCACTGGGATCCCTTAAACCCTGCCCCAAAATACCTTATTTCCAGGGTATCTTAACGTAGAACCAGTCACTGGGAATGGAGACATCTCCTGTCCCAAGGAGAGGTGGGTGGCAGCAGATGCTCCTATTGACTCAAGCACTTCTCATTGGATCTGGAGTTGTCCAGTGGGCTGTAGGCAGCTGAACAAGTTGTGTGTTGCTCCCCAGGTGGTGGCCTCTCTCTCCAAAAGATCATGCTCTCCAGAAGATCACACCATTCCAAAGCAACGGCCTGTCCCACTTACCTTGTACTCTTGTTTCCCACAGGGGTCCTGACAGCTGGAGAGCACAACTTTCCCTTCCAGTTCCTGCTGCCAGGTATGATGCAGATAATGGCTGAAGGCACTTCCATGTAAGCCTCGGCTTTTGCAGCCTCTCGAGCTGTGCTGAGCAGGACTTGGGCTGGATGGCAGAGGCAGGCTGGCAGCTTGGCCTGGAGACGCTAGAGGGAGCGTAAGGTCAGCCACAGACAGCCAAAGAGCTTAAACAAGCCGGTACCTTCTGCGTTGGTGCAGAGCCGGGTCTGAGCTGTCACTGATGCCTCCCTAAGCGTGACCCTGCGAGCTCTTTGGGTGTGCGCAGGGGTCCTGGCCTGTGGCTAGCCAGCCGTCCTGCACACAGTGCGCTCAGAGAGAGGATCTCTGCTCTTGCACCTGTGGTTGCAGAGGATCCCTTCTGTAAGGAGGTTGCAGCAAGGTCTCCGGGTGACCTAAGTGTTCAGCCCCAGGTCTTTTTTGGGGGAATCCCCATGTGCTCTGTGTCTCAGGTACTTGCAGAACTCCTCAGGTGAGGAGGAAAGCTGCTTAAAGGGACTATACTTTCAGTTCAGAAACGCTTGGCCTGACTCAGCCTTATGATCCTTTTCTTTCTCTCTCAACTCCAGCCTCTGCTCCTACATCATTTGAAGGACCTTTTGGCAAGGTCCTCCATCAGGTGAAAGCTGTGATAGACACACCTCGCTTCTCCAAGGACTACAAGTGCAACAAGATCTTCTATGTTCTCTGCCCTCTCAACTTGAACGACATCCCTGACATCGAGGTAAGAACAAGGAGGAGCGTGGCTGGAAAGTGCCAAGGCTTCAGCATTTGTCCTTGACCTGCGTGCTGTCTGGGGAGTAATTGTGTGGTTGGACAACTCTCTGACTGCATGCCCTGACTGTGCAAGAGCAGGACGAGGACTCCTGATCTGTCCTGCTTTGCCATCAGTCCCCGCTCCCAGTGATTTTTGACTCTTCTTCATGTTGCTTTGAAAGATTTAGGTGAATTTTCAGCATGCAGAGAGAGGTGTTGACCAGGTGCTTGTAAAGACCTGGGTTTGGGGAACTTGCTTTGGAGGGAAGAGTGACTAATAGGACAGCAAAACTGAGAGGGATGGAGAAGTGAGACCTGTTGTCTGTGGCAGTGCTGTGTTGCTGGTTCTTTGCATCCTCTTAGACCAGATATTTCTACTTGCTTTTTTTTTAATCTCTGCATGTTTACCTGGAGGCTTTCTGACTCTCTTGAGCCAACATCTCTGTCTTTCTCCTGTCCTGCAGCAGCCCAACACTATGTCAATCACCAAGAAGTTCAACTACAAGCTTGTGAAAAGTGGCAACATTATCTTGACCGCCACCTCAGATCTGAAAGGGTACATCGTGGGGCAAGCAATCCAGCTCCGCACGGACATAGAAAACAAATCGGGCCGGGACACCGGGGCTGTGGTAGCCAGTCTGCTCCAGGTAGGCATCCGAAAGGGTGATTCTTTGGCTTGTGCTGGTACTCCACCCCCCTGAGACCTCTGTGAAACCAGGGCAGTTCTCACCAGTGTGCATCTCTGCTGCGTGTGGCTGGGAGGTAGCAGCGAGGAGTCCAGACCTCTGACTAACTCTGTTTCTCTCTACCTTCTGGGGAAAGAGGTGGTAGAACTTGTCTTGCTTATACCAACTCAGTCTATCATATAATGATGGGTATTTCTGCTCTGTAATATGCACGTTAGGTTTGTGCTCGTGCTTATTTGACAAAGCAGTTGGGTGGTTTTATGTCCTGACTTACGTTTGTGGGAGACAGAAGACCATCTGCAATCTTTCTGCTAGCTGTATTTTCTCCTGTCTGTACAGAAAGTGGCTTATAAATCCAAGCGCTGGATTTACGACCTGAGGACCATCGCGGAGGTGGAAGGCTCAGGAGTGAAAGCCTGGAAACATGCAGAATGGAAGGAGCAGATCCTCGTTCCGGCACTGCCCCAGTCCATCCTGCAGGGCTGTAACCTCATACATATAGACTATTACATCCAAGTGAGTACATCAGCGCTCCTGGGGAGCTCCAGTGGGCTGTGCTCCCTTCTGGGTTGAGCTCAATGGCTGAACTCCGTAGCTGTGTGGTGCGGGTGGCCCTCGCATCAGGTGAACCTTCCCAGTGCAATGTATAATGAAGAGGATGCCACTGTTTTTCTTTCTCTTCCAGGTTTCCCTCAAGTCGCCGGAGGTTTCAGTCACTCTCCCCATTTATATTGGTAACATTGCTGTGAACAGGGTGCCTCTGAGCCCCTCCCGGTCCATCCAGCACATACCGTCTGCAGTGGTACCCAGCGCCCCCCCGGAGGAAGAGGAGGCTGCCAGCGGTTATCACCCGATGGACAATGTCTCGATCCCCACCAAAAGCCATTCCCAGCAGCAGCCATTTAGTTACGCCCCAGGACTGAGCTTCCAGGAGATAAGGGTGGACTCAGAGCAGACGGGCTCCCCAAACCATCCCACGCTCTGCCTGTCGACGGGAGCCACTGTCCCTTACTACGCTGAGGGGAATGTGGTGCCCGTCCCCACGGCCAGCTCTCTCATTTTGCCTCCGGAGTACAGCACGTGGGGCTACCCATACGGTGAGCAGCCCACCTCTGAGATCTAAACGGGCTGGCAGTGTGGTAGTAAATGTCTCCTACCACGAGAGTCTCTTTGCTAGCCGTGAACTGGGTGGGAATATAGGGATGTCAGCCTGCCGGGGGCTGATGTCAGAGGGGATCATGAGATCTCTCTGCCTGCTTTAGCCTCCGGAGGGAGTCCCCTCTTACAGCTGTAAAAGCCGGCTGTCTGTTCCCACGTCTACACTCATGCCTGCCCTGGACTCGTCGTGAGAGGATCTCCCTGTTCTTAAATGAGCTTTCAGCCTCCTACTGATAGAAAAACTTCTTGGCTTGTGGTGAGGCTGGTGGGAGCAGAGCCAGGAGAATGATGTAACTGAAATCTTCTGTCTGACTTGGAGTGGGCCTGCAGCTGGTCTGAAGACACAAGCTGTGGGGGTGGGAGCTGAGAGACTGTCCAGGGTGGAAAAGCTTGGGGAAATCCCAGCATGCTGGATTCCTGGAGCCGTGCTTGTCCTCGGCGGCTGGGGTGGCAGGGACCAGTGGTGTCCGTTAGCACAGACAGACTGTTAGCACAGTCCTACCCAAATAAACCCGTCTGTTAGCACTGGCTTAACGAGACACTCGATGTGTCACTTCAGCCCTGGCTTGGGGCACACAGAGCACGGGTCACCTGTGATCTGGAGGTGTTGGAGTCCGTGAGGATGCTTGTGAAAGAAGGGGCGGAACAGAACAGGACTTTGAGGTGCTGATTTTAATCCCTGTAGGCATCAGGACAGGGATGGGACTGGCTGGCTCAAATTCTGCGTATGCACACGCAAACCACTTATATTTCAGTGGGGCAGGTTGTAGGGTCCTGGAGAGAGTGTGCCTGCTTGTGTGACACGTGTACATGTTAGCAGTTTGCTTTACTCTGCACTGAGTTACATAGACTGGGGTGAAGGGAACCTCCCAAACATCCACCATAACCGCTCTTATTCTTTCTTTCCCCCGCAGAGGCACCTCCATCCTATGAGCAGAGCTGCAGCAGTGCCAACTCCAGCATCAGCAATGGCAACTAGCCTCCCCTGCTTCGAGTCCCGCTGGCGCTGCCCACCCCCAGGCGCCGCAGTTCACCTGCCTACTGCAAAGTCTGGTACAGCACAAGGCGTCTTTTTATCTCTCTGGCTGCTTGGTGGGGTAAACGGCACATCCCAGCCTGGGCTTTTTAAGTCTCTTTCTAGGGAGGGGGGGAAAAAAACAAAAAGGGCAGCCAGAGCAGCCTGCGTGCATGTGTAGGAGAGGTCTGGGAAACTGAACCGTCTCCTTCTGCTGCACCAAGTGCTGGAGAACTGGTTTTGCCCCAGGGATGCCCTCTGCAGCAGCCTGTGTTTAAAGTACTGTAGTCAACGCTAACTGCTTTACTATCAAAGCACCTGCGATGCCTTATCTGAAATGCTCCTGACTTGGCATGTCTCCACTGTAGGTGAAGGCTGGGCTGTGTGGACTTTCTCTTCTCTTTTAGGGGCCATGTGCTCTCCAGAAATGGTTTTGACAGCCCTTCCTCCTTGTCCTCGTAGGTCCTAAGGGTAGCTGAAACAGGAGGTTTCTTGGAGTAAGCAGGTTCGGAAGGTCAGGGACTCTTAAAAAGCCAAAAGCACAAGCCCTTGCTATACCTGTGTTGTGGGGTGAGTGACCGGCAGCCTTTGGTCCTCTCGCAGTGGGCTGCACCACTGCCTGCATGCGGTGAGAGGAGAGCAGGCTCTGGCAGCAGGGAGCTCGCTGGGGCACTTGCTCATAACTCAAGAGGCCCTGGCGAGCTGTGGAGGGAAGGCTTGGTGTTACCGTGGGGTGCCCACCAGCCAGCTTCTGGCCTCTCTCAGCAAGGGTGACTTTCCTCTGAAAAGCCCTGTAGGAGACAGTCCATCCTTGCTCGCCGCTAGACCGCAGCGCCCAGGATGAACAGCGCTAGTCAGTCTGCAAGCGGGGGGACCAGATCCCCCCGTGTCCCATCTCCCACCCCTGCAGGGTGCCCTCTCCATCCCAGCTGCCGCTGCCTTTGGCAGGCCAGAATTACATGACAATCAAGTTACAAAAGTCTGTCCGATGCTACCTCTGAGTCTGCCCAAGGACCCTGTCCGTGGAAGCCCTTCCCTCTGGGACGGCCCTCCCTCGAGGCCCAGCCTGGTGTCTCTCGCAGGAGCGGTCAACGCTGCCAAGCCAGTGCGCGAGGGTGCTTGGCCTGGGGACTGTTCCCTCCACGAGCCGGTACTGGTTTACCGCCTGTCTCCCGAGCTGCCTCTCGAGCTACAGCAGGATGCGAAAATGAGTGAGTGGGAACACAAACCGCTAAGCCTCATTTGCAGCCTCCGCTGGACCTGGCAGGTCGGGGGAAGAAGCTCGTGGATGTAAAACAGCATTTTTCTTTTGCGCTTTCTCCCTCCCCTTGTTTAGCGCTTTTAGTATTGATTGCCCAAGCTGAGGAAACCACAAACCAGATACTTAAGAGCCACAGGCATCCAGCCACGGCTGAAATTGTGGACTGCAGACCTTTGGCACTTCTGAGACTTGGTCTCCACACTGCCTCACGCTGGGCAGGCAATATCTAACAAACCTGTTAGGAGCACTGCAGCCTCTGCCTCCTCATTTTAGCCTGCCTCTGCACACCCCTGGCAGGCAGCTGGGACAAGCCCTGCTTTGCACTCTTTCTTTGCAAATGCTTTTTATTTTTTTTTTTTTTTTAAGCGTTGAACTGCTTTAAGGATAGCGTAGAGAAGGTGCCGTTCTGAGCAGTGCTGGCACAACATGCACCAATGTTGATAGAATGATTGTCATTGTCCCTGAATATATATATATATATATGAGATGAAGTTTTGTTTTTAATGATTGAATTCATAAATACAAATTTTAATGCTGTATTTAATAAATTATTCTAAGAGAAAAGCTGTGCTTTTTCATCCATTTCTGATGCTTATCCATGTGCCTGTTCATGCCAAATCCAGGAATGTACCTTGCTGATTTCTTACAAAATGAAGCAAGTTTTTTGCTCTCACCGGGAAGGATGGTGACTTCTGCCAAGGCAGCTTGGGGAAAACAAGCACGGTGCAGCCTGACCGCGGTGCTGGGCTCGTAGTTCCAGATGGTTGGAGGGAGTCGGGCACCATGTGGGCTCGGCTTTGGAGAGAGCAGCAGCTGCACTGCTGCTTCCCTGGCCCCGTGTCCCAAAGTCCAAGTGGGCCACGGGTCTTGGGCAGTGCTCTCTGCTGTCCGACTGGAGAGGTGGGCTGGTGGGGAGGAAGGGGAGAGTGGACTCTCCCTTCAGGAGGATGGAGATGGAACAGCCAAGGTCTGGCTGGAAGGGCTGGAGACCACCAGCCCATGCCCTCTCCTAAAGAACCATTTGGAATAAACGTATTAAAAACGGAAGAAGGCTCCTCCTCACACCCACAGTTTGGTGATACCATGTCTGAAGCATGTAGGTGTTGCCTAAATGTTGTCATCGCGAGTAGCCTGAGGTGTGATCTGTGTCTCAGACACAAGGATCCTTCTTCACCCTCTGCTCAACGTATGCTTCTGCCCAGCTTTTATTATTTTAGACTTTCTCCTTTGCCTCGTGGTCTGTGCCTGCCATGAAAAGCATTCTTGATACACAGGGGATCAAAAGCGGGTGCTTGTTCGTTCATAACGGTACATCTCTTCCCCAGTGCTCTTCCTCTTCCTCCCAGTTAGTTGAACCTGTTTTGGCTGGCTCAGCCCGTAACTCCTGTGGCCTTCCTTGCTGTTGGCAGTACGTATCCCTCCTTTCAGGCCTCCACCCAAATCCCTTCCACACCTCTGGAAAAATTCCTCTGAGCTGTCAATGCTTCTGGACGTGCTGGGTTGGGCTCCAGGCTCCTGACCCAGCCGGGGTCTGGGAGAGGCAGCCTGGGCCGGGACTGAGTTCCCGGTTCCTTGTTCTCCACCCCTGAAGTTGAGCTGCTGGTGACGTGTCCAGCCCATGTTCCTTGGCTGGAAAACTTGAACGCTGTTTGGTTACTGTGGCCAGAGCCACTGGGATGCCCTTCTAGACCCCCAGCCAGTGTCTGTCCTCCTCGTTTAACCTTTATGGTTGGGAATGCACCGTTCAGGGTGGAGGTGGAGACTGTGGAGATGAGAGGCCAGCCGTATCTCACACAGCTCCTGTGTTGTGCCCTGCACCTCTGCAGTGCTCCCGTGCACCTGAGCTTGCTCTCCCAAATTATATTTGCTACAAACTGGTCCTTCAGCACCTCTTGCTGTACACGGAGTCCCCTTTGCAAAGCAAGGAGCAAGTGGGCACACTCTTCTTCACTGGTGAGGAGTGTCCATCTCCGCTGGCTGCTGTGGGGGGAGCAGGAAGGAGTCGGAGCTAGACCTCACGGTGGTCCTTGTTCTTTTGGATGCTAGGGCTGGGCACGCACAGCTCGGGCAGAGAAGAGGCCTCTCTCAGACCTGCGAGGCGGCTCTGGCCAGGATGCAGCAGGTTATCACCCTAAGTTTATCTCTCAGCAACCTCGCTGTTGTGCAAGCGGACAGAAATAACTGGCAAAGCGCTGTGGTTTTCAACGTTCCTGCCCAGCCTTGCCTGTCCCCCAGCGCTGCGGCAGGGAATCGAAGCCTGGCGCAAAGAGCCTTGTTCATGTTTCACGGACCCCTTTGAAACGGTCCAGGACTGCAGGATGGAGGAGTTAGTCCAGCTCTCCTTAAACCTACCCGCAGTTGTGGCCTCGGTGCTGTGGCAGCAAGGTCCTCGGGGTATACGAGTACTTTGCACGAGCACGATGGAGCTAAAACCAATGTTTGGGTGTGAGTATGGTCCCCTCTGGAGAGGGCGAGTGGACAATCCCTCTGTCCTCTGCCTCGCTGCTGTCTCTGCAGCCTCTCTGGCTTCAACCTCTTTAAGTCCTGGGGAGCTCCTGTAGGCCCCGGGTCATCCCTCTCTCCTCTTTCTGAACTCTGGAATAAAGGGGAAAAAAACCCATTTTTCCAAAACCCAGCTCTGGGTAAAAAACTTCAGCGCGCAGGAATTCATTCAAATTCCTGGCTCAAATTTTTTAAGCAATTGTTTTGTGGTTTTGCTTGAAATGGGGAGGGGAAGTGGTGGGGCGCGAGTGAAGCTTGTGAGCTAATTGTTTCCAAACTCAGCATTCAATGGAAAATACCAAAAAGATCTTCTGTCCTTTTTTTTTTTTTTTTTTCTTTTTTTTTTTTTTTCCTGCTGCTTCTTTTTTGTCCTTCATGGCTTTGTTCTTGTCCCGCTCTCCACATGTGCCGCTTCCATATTTTTGGCTTTTTCAGTGTTGTTTGTGTCCTACTAAACTCCGCTTCGGCACCTGTTGTCCCGCTGCCTGCAGGAGATGGGGAACGGGGAGATGGGGGACGCGAAGGCTCTTCTTTATGTTGGACGGTGATTCTTTTTTAGCTTTCCACTGAACTTTCAGTAGTTTTGTAAAAGTAACTATTTTCTGCTAGGAAGTTTTCCTGTTGAGCCAGCACAAGAGAGGAGATAAAGGGTGTTCTGGGGTCCGTTTGTTTATTCTGTATTTTAAAATATTTCCAACTATCTGCAAGAGGAATGTCCCATCCCTCCTCCCCAAGAGAGACTCGTGGGGTAAAACCCTCAAAACTTGTGCCCTTTCTTGTACCAATACTCGTGGCTGTAATTCTTTATTCCTGTGGTTCTCTTTACAGATTTTGGGGTTTTATACAACAGTATTTGTGATGGCTCTGTACAACCTAAGACTTCTACGCGGTTTATTACTGGGTTTTAAAATGTAAACGAGCAGTTTTACATGTTTACCACGGCTTCTGGGGAGTATTTTTGTCCTGGGTTTTAAACCACCAAATGTAAAGAACTGAAAAATGTAAATAAAGAGCTCCTTTTTTTTAAGACCATGGGTGCTTTTGCTCGGGGTAAATGTGTGATGGGCGCCGCCTGTACGCTGAGACCTGCCGGGAGGGCCTGGCACAGCGGGCGAGAAGTGGCTCCTGGCTTTCAGAGGAGGCATCCACGTCTACAGCTGAAGCTCGGAAAGCTGATTTATAGCGGATGCTAAAGCAAAGCCACGTCTCCGCAACTTAGTGGGGGAACCGTTGGGGTGGGAAGACGCTGGTGGGGTGATCTAAACTGTCCCTTGCTCCCACGATGGAGAAAGGTCCAGCTGGAAGGACCCGGGC